GCACCTGAAGATGGTGGTGGGACAGCATCTGGAGGAAAAAACTAGGTACACAGGTGGATTGGCCATGGAACTGGCGGGCCCTCCTCCGTGGGGCCTGGGCCCGCCCCCCCCCCCCCCCCCAGCATCGCCTTTGCACACAATGCGTTCAACATTTGGGAGAAGCGCAATCATGTGGGCCATCTAGTGGAGACGGTGCACGTATGAAATAGGGAGAGGGCACAAATTGAAGGGGGAGACATAATCAAACAGTGCCCAATGGAACAGAGAAAAAGAGAAACCGAAACAGATCAGAGACATGACAAGAAATCCGGAGGGCACTCAAAACCTTTGCAGAGTATTGGTTGGGAGGAGAAAAATGGGGGGTTGGGTGGCAGACATTCAATGGAAGGAGAGACAGGAGGGGGATCAAGATGAAGTCAAACGGGGCTAAGCCCTAAGATTTCATGACTGGATGAAGATCGACCCATCTTTCCCGCTGAGGCCACCCTCTGATTTCCCTGAACTATTCCCTCCGCAGGTGGGGGCAATGGTGGAGTTCCAATGGTATGGACAAGAGGGAAAGGGACACACTCCCATGGGTGCAGCATGCAGACAAACTCACAGCCAGCAACCGGGACTACTTCCTAGCTGGCGGCCAGAGAAAAGGACCTATGGATCGACCGCAGGGCAATCACCGAGGATACAGGCAGTCAACCCCCTCCACGCCAGTGATTGTGACAAACGAAACGGGAGAGGAAAAGGCAGCTGGCAGATGGGAGATCACCTTGGACTGGGCAGTTCGAGTGTGAACCATTGTGCATGCGGCAACAGGTGCTGGCTACGAGAGCACAGCTTTGAATCAGACTGAACAACCTTGGGCTGGCCAGTTCGACAGTGATTCTCAAGGGAATCACCCTTTACTCAAAGTTTCAAAAATAGAATAGAGTAGACAAAGAAAAGTTTACAGGGGATTCCACACAACTGCACCACCGTGAAGTGGCAGATTTAGAGAAGAGAAACGAGTACACGGCCAAATCGACATAAGAGAGGAGGGCAATCTAACGAGCTGCATTTTCCCTCTCTGAGGGCGTTTTCCCACTCCCAAATGAGTACACGGCCAGTTGACCCGAACCGCACCTCCAGCTTTTGCCTGCTCTGCCCACCGCAGTCTCCACCACGCAGCGTTCCGATGTTCAAGGGCTAGGATAGGACTAGAGTCACCGGACACATTATCTCGATCTGGGAGAAGGCTACGACTCTACAAAGCCACTCTAGCAGAAACACCCTGTGTCTCTTTCTTATCTATCAGTGATCACTGCAATCACCTGCCAGTTTCTGCCTTCAAACACACTGCTCTCGTCTGTCTACCAAGGCATGCCTTCATCAGTTGCAGATTTTAATAATCACATAGGCTATGCTGAGAGCCACCCAAGAGAGTTGGGGAGTACAAGTACGCCACTAGAAGTCTTGTTGCTGGGATCTCGGAAGACTTAGGGTCCATCATAGCTACTTGCACGTAATCAAGTTCATCGATTGAGACGTTCGCACTCGACAGAAGAATCCATCGAGGGAGCTTCTGTTGCAATTCTTTACTCTACTTCACTGCCTTTACCAGCCGTCGCCATAGCTATTACCAGCTGCGAGAGCACGGCATCTGCTGAGCGCAAGGTGAGTAAAAGTTCACAGAAATGGGTTGGAGACATATTTACCATTTAGTTGGAATATTCACGCGAGTTCTGTCACTACTCACGATGAGGTTCCCACCTCCACAAACCACCAAATCAGATTACCCAAATCTCAAACTACATTTAAAGGAGAAAAGGACCCTCATAAAATTCCATTTTAAGGAGAAAAGGACCCTCATAAAATTCAAAGAGATGGCAGGTAGCGACCAATATCCCTGCTCAGGGCTGCCCCAACGCCGGCCCCGTGATATTGCTGCTCGTCAAACTACATCTGTTTTCCCATAAAACCTTCTGTCATTTCTTTTTTCCTTTCTTCACTTTTACGAGAGCAGCCCCTACCATATTCATCATCTGCCTATCAATAGTTACATGTGTGTACCGTTCCTACTCTACTCCATTACTACCATGGGAAAACATTCTGCTTTCTGTCTGAAGACCCATGCTTCCCTCTGTCAAATGAGGTATTGTGATTTTGGGGGTCATGATGTTTTTTGTTTGTTATCTTCCAATCAACATGTTTGGTCAGCCTCTTCTTCCTTGTTTTTTTTTTTCTTTGCTCGTTTTTTTTTTTTGGGTTTTTTTTGTCTACAATTTTTCCCTTGCGTTTTTTTTTTTTTTAAAAACCCCCCCCCCCCCCCCCCCCCCTACTAGGAAGAGTGATGCATGCATAGTAGTCCGGCCAGGTGCTCCGATCTATTGATGGGGAGCAACGCCTGCTGGAAAGCGGGTCCAGCGTCCCATTAATGCATTCTGATGTTTCCAAGCCCAGAGCAACGCCTGCTGGAAACCGGGTCCATCATCCCATGAATGCCTCATGATATTTCCACGCCCAGTCTGAGCACTACCTGCTGAAACCGGGTCCAGCGTCCCACCTGAGTGACACTCAGAAAAATAGCCGGTGTTCGGGGGGCAATAAACTCCTGCTGATACATTTAGTATACTGATTAGTGCCTTTCTTTTGAGTACATTTGATTAGTGCCTTTCTTTTGAGTACATTCATCGCTGCCTTTCTTTTGAGTACATTCATCGCTACATTTGATTACCGCCTTTCTTTTGAGTACATTCATCGCTGCCTTTCTTTTGAGTATATTGACTCCTGGCTCTCTGTTTGAGTATATTGACTGGTTCCTTCCTTTTCCCTCCCAGGGAGAAATAAATGGGGCTTCAACACCCTCCGCTGTAGATCAACAAAGGGGCACCAAGACTACTCAATGGGTCGTCCCACAAGCACGTTATGCCTCCATGCAGAAAAGAAAAAACATAAAGACCAACATTCAGCAGATCTTCAAATCCAGAAGCCAGTACACACCAAGAAAAAAATGGGACCTCAAGGAATACAGGAGACCATGAAACACACTGATAACGTGAATTCGCATGGAACAAACTGATAACGTAGACTCACAATCGGATTTTGCTCGACTGAACCTCGCCGTAGCTACAGTCGGATACCTTCAAGAGTAAAAGTGTCAATGTTAGAGACGAAAAAAACGCAAAAGATGTGTTGTAAAGAGGGGAATGCATATGCCTTCTAGCCTAGTGACATACACGTGACTGTTAATTAATTAACAGAAAGATCACGAGTTATGTTCCAGATGGACCGAATAATATTTAGGTGCTATACCCCCTTCCTCTTGGGCAAAAGAAAAGCACAAAAGGGAGGCGGAAAAAGATGATCTCCAAGGTATTTCTGGCACTTTGCAACTTATCGAATACGTGTACTCCCATCTCTTCAACACACTGGCCACGTGTTCAAAGGGGCTGGGGCATCAACACAAGCACGGCACTCCTGAATAAACTCATCTAGTGGCACATACTACATACCTTTGGCGTGCTCGCTGGTGGCGATGCAAGGGTGTCACGAGCAAGGAGCTCTGCCTTCATGTCCTCCCCTTCCACCTGCAAACAAAAGCAAGATTTCATTAGCCTGTCAGTGCGTGGAGAGGGAGGGAAAGGCAGTGGGAAGGGGGAATCATAGCAACAGCTGTATCTGTCGTATGAACTTGAGCCACAGAAATGGGGAGAGCAGGGGAAGGAAATAGAGAGAGAGAGAGAGAGAGAGAGAGAAAGGCACGGAGGGAGGAAGTGAGGGAAGCTAGGTGGCACTAGCCCTGTCGTCCATCCATCTGAGCGTATCCACCAACCAACTGACCACCTGCATCCTGCAGCGTAGAGTTGGCCAGGCTAAGTCTTGACATTTCCACACCAAGAAGGCTATTTTGGGGCTCTTCTCATTTTGCTACAATTATTACTTAATGATAATCACTACGATTGAAAAAGAAGTTGCAGAGAAAAGGCACACACCTCCTTTTACACACTTTCTCAAAACATATTGAATCCTGCTCGATACATTGACGTTCGGGGCTACAACTCTTTTGCTTGTTCTTTTTATAGGATTTATGCCTACCGTCTTCACCCGAATAGAACGCCCGGTCATTATAGCCGTATTTGGTGCAACTTTTTCCGTCTACATGCAGCGATTAACCGGGCGTTCTATTCGGGTGAAGACGGTAGCGGTGACACAACCACATTCCTCCTCAGCTTCGCATTGGCTTCCCATCGTTTGACTAAACCACGATAAATGAAGCAAACAATTGTGAAAACAAAAAAAGAACCACCGGTTAATCCGATCAAACGCCCCCAAGCTTTTCTTTTTTTTCTTTTTTTTCTATTTGGAGGTTGAGAAGGAGCCTACCGGAGGGGGCTCGGCACCACGAGCCCATCCACAATCCCAGTGGGGAGGTGTATTATCAAAAGGCCCGGTCGAAATAAAATTAAAAAAAATATATCAACTGGGATCAACCAGGGGGGAGGTGTATTATCAAAAGGCGTACCGATCCTCCATCGCACCCAGGACCGGTCGAAATAAAATTAAAATTAAAAAAAAAAAAAATGAAAGTATCCCAGTGTCCGTCTGCCGTCCAGAGTAGCCCCTGGGCGGTGCACGCACCCAGTCCCTACCCCCCCAAGCACCCCGTTGTTTGCCCCCTTGGCCCTTCTTTGAAGAGTCCGATTGAAGCCCATTGATGGACAAGGGGAAAAGGGAGGTCCAATACGCTAGACCGGTGGGTTCACAACGACCTCCCCCCGCCAGAGCTGCCTCAGCTCCCGCCCTCGCCCCCTCCCCGAACGTCCCTACTGCTTCCCCCTCCCAAAGCCCTCGATGCGTGTCAGGGAAGAAATGCGTCATTAAGGAGCTTCAAAAAGGCCGACGGGTGTACTCACAACGCTTTCTCCTTCAACGGTTCACAACAATCAACCCTGTCCTTTCCTACCTCTTCCCCCCGTCGATCGGTGCGGAAGGGTGTCCCATTGCACCTATCGCATCACGACGCTGCCGAAAAGGGACCTGTCACACATGATCAGCAGGCATAACGATGCTTCCCACTCAGTTTCTCGGCGTCATGCGCAAGGGACCTGCCAACTCCCTCAAGGTGAAGGGATCGTTATAGAACGCCAGTGGCCCCCGCCCCCCCCCCCCGCCACCTCCGCCCCCGCCCCCCGCCGCCTCCCCCCCTCCCCCCCCCGGTCCGCAATCCCGCGACGCATGTACGGCAATTGCCCATGCTATTTTTTTTAATTGCTTTAATTAAAAGTTCCCCACCTCTTCCCCTGTCGATCCGTACGGAAGGGGGCACGTTTGCCATATGAGGGTGCGGGAAACCATAATGATCCTTCCCATTCAATTTCTGCATAACATGCCAACCGGCACCAAGCCACCTCCCCCAAAACCCTCCCCAACCCACCTCCCAAAACCCCTCCCCAACCCACCTCCAAAAACCCCTCCCCAACCCACCTCCAAAAACCCCTCCCCAACCCCCTCCCTTTTAATTCATTATGCACCTGTGTGAGGGACGAGAATCATTGAAGGTCGTTAAAGCATCAGTGCACAATTATTTTTCCCCCTCATTTGCTTGTAGGCAAGCGCCAAGGGTGGGGGCGCCGTAACGTATTGCGGGGAAAACCCTTGCACACTGCTGGGTGACTCCGTATCATAAAAAATTAGCCCTCCGCTCCATGTTCAGCCTTCTCTCTCTCTCTCTCTCTCTCTCTCTCTCTCTC